GAGAAGAGCCTCGGAGGAAAACCACTCCTAGAGGGATGTTCAACCCACTTGGCAAGGTGGCTATTGCTGGTTTGCGCTCCGAGGTCCGTTCATCGATCCTCTCGGAGAACAGGACTTGTCCCCTCTTCTGGGCTTCCGGATTTGTCCTTTGTTGTCACCTCCGCTTGATTGTGCTCTTGAACGAAGCACTTGACTCCATTGCTTTGATCAACCTGGTAACCATGGTTACAACTCACTAAGTAGGCTGAACGCCCAAGTACTTTTTGCGAGCTATTTGGAAGAGGACGTGTTGGACCTCTTCAAGAGGATGGGTCGCTTCTTCTAAAACCTGAAATAAGGACCAGGAGTTTCAGGGATAAAACAAATGTAAAACCCATGAGGGTGGTCCAACATCTTGTGCCGCAGCCCGATCTCTTGTAATTGTAGCTTTGCCCACCAAAGGCCTGTTTAGAAGGTGGCGTTGATACTCCTCCTGCCTTCAGTGATCTTAATGCCTTTTCCGACTTGCGATTTGCTGGTCTTTCAGTTCTACAGTGGCCTTTACGATGCGGCTACGTTGCTCTCTTGTTTGTTTTTCCGCGTTCGGGGGGTTATTTGTTTGTCTGTCTTCCGCTGGGGCTGTTACTGTTGCCAGAGAAAAGCTGCGCGGTCCTTTGCGAGTTGGCTCCAAAGCAGAATTCTGAACTTTGTGTCGGCAAATTGCCACCCAGTCATTGAGCAAAAACCCAATCGATTGATTCAGTTCAGGGTGGAGATCCTGTAAAGGTTAGCCCTCTTACTTTCGAGCCCATTTTTCCAACGTTCTTTTCAACCACCAACCGTTTCCCCTGACTGGGCGGGGATGTGGACCGACATTTTGCCAATCCCCCCGTTTTTGAGCGCCTCCGCCCGTGCGATCTGAGGAATCTGCAGCACATCACCAAGCTTGGAAAGCTGGAGGCGTCGGGTTTTGATAGCCTGGCTCGAAGTCGGAGAGTTTTTTCTAAAGCCGTCAACGCCTTTACATATATATATATATATATGTATTTATATATATATATATAGGTATATATATATACATATATGTACCAGTCCCTGGGCCACATACCCGCTCCCCCGCATCATCTTGCATCTTGGGGATGATGCTGGCAATGCTGGGGATGCTGTCCAGTACTCCCCCTTTCACCCCGTGAGCCAACACCCCAGCACTCTCGCAACATCCTACCCTAAACCAAACCACCCTGCAACCCCTCCTTAACCCCAACCCTAAGCCTAAATCAACCCAAACCCCAAACCCACCCGAAACCCACCGCAAACCAACCCTGAACCAACCCTAAACCAACCCACCAAGCCTAAACCAACTCCAAACCACACCCCAACCACCCAACCACCCAACCACCCAACCACCCAACCACCCAACCACCCCACCATCCCACCACCCCACCCCACCCCACCCCACCCCACAGGCGGGGGGGGGGGTTCACGGCCTGGAACATATATATATATATATATATACACATATTGTACAGATATAAATATAGCTATTCAGAGCCACCCTAGTAGAACGGGAAGTCAATGGGTTCTGTTTTAGGCACTGCTCACTTGTCCAACACCAACCTTTCGACCTTCTGTTTTCCCGTTTGGCAGCCGTTTGTTGGAGGGGGGGGGGTATATCCCAAACAAGGGTGCTTTTTGCTTTCTCATGGACATCCATTGGAGCTCTGTGCGAAGTTCATTGCCAGACTTAGCTCACCTTCCTAAATTTGCCTTGGGTTTCCTCCACTTCCCTTGCTCGAAACAAGTGAAAAAGGTGAGGAGGGGGGGGGGGCGTCGGTCTCCGCATTTTGCCAGACCCGCTCCTGGCACGGAGTCCGAGGTCCCAAGAAATATCGGGCAAGGCTTAAAGGAATGACTCACCCCCACAAAAGCAACACGGCATAAGCCAAGTATAGCTTGCCTCCAGACGTACAGCTGCATAAAAGTCTGCATAATTCCCTTCATGTTGGTTTCATCATGCCTCTTACGACCGGCAGAACAGGATACATCCATCCGTTTTCAGGCGCGCCGCGGCTTGATGACTTGGCTGTTTGAAAAGCTCTCCGGGAAGCCTGCGCAATCCAGCGCCTTGGACACAGCCCAGACCCGCTTTTTGAGGCTTATTGGGCGTTGAAATGGTCTTTTTGCCGCATGGAGGCTAAAGGTGGTTGAGTCAAACATATGGTCCGTTTTGGACCCGCGGGCCGAGAGTTCCAAATGGAGGCCCTAATTTGACAACCCTCCTAATAGTTGGCAGTTTGGGGGGTGGTTGGGTATGCGAGGTGGTTTGTAGTTGTGGGTTCCCGCACCAACATTTTAGAGGCATTCCAGGAAATTCGTCAATGAGCCACCCAGAATATCTCCGGTAGAATTTCCGGTCGTCGGTCTAAACGGTGGAGATGGACGGAGCAAGCAGACGAAAAGGCCCAAAGACTTAGAAGCCTTTGCGTGGTAGGCCGACCTCTTCGTTTTCGGAAAGACCCTCAGAGAGCACCAGGGAAGGACCACCCAGAAGCTCCTTTGAATAACGCTCGAATCGCTTTTGATTTTGAAAGACGCCCCGAAAAGGATGGCAAGAACACACCGGGGGACGGAGGACACCTCATGTCTTTCTTTTCCTGGCCCTTTCTTAGAGCTGGACTTCCGGGACTTTGAATTGTTGGACCGGAGCCATTCCGTGGCCGTTGAGCCTGCAAGAAGGTTTCTTCACAGCTCAAGGATAGGAAGTGAGGGGCTACACACACACACACCTTGTGAGCCCGGCTCGAGCCCCCTTCGAGGAAATGTTGGCAGCAATTGCAGGTTCCTTTTTTGGGAATCATGATGCCCCAGATCGGAAGCCTTGACTACGGCATATTGGACTGCATGACCTAGCAAGTGGTTGATAAACCTGGCAGTCCCCTCGGGAGGCTTATGATAGGGGTTAATGAGCTTTGGCATTCAGCTGTTCTGAACCGCCCACTCAGCTTGACCTAGCCCCAGCCGTTGCCAGTTGCCACTAGTGTCCCTGGGGCAACCAAAACAATTGGCCACGCAAATGGATTCGCCCAGAGTGAACCACTTGCTATGCTGATCGATCGCCTCCTGTGGGGCTACGCATTTCCCATGGCCCCTTGGGACAACCAGAAAAACAACAAAATACATGGCCATGTAAGGCTTCCAAGAAACCAGCTGCAGGATAGTCTACAGGAGATGGTGTTTGCCGAGTGGTTGCGCCAGCACAAGCTAAGGTACAGGGCCTCCGGCGTCGGAGACTCAGATCGCGGTCAGATAATTGAGGAGCGGGTGCGAGGGATACCCAAAGTACTGTAAAGGGAACAAGGGAACCCTCCAAGTTATCCGAATTTGGCCATGGTTTTGTGGTTGAGTATGTGGGAGATTCTGGGCTGTTTCCGAGCAGCTACTTCTACCCTGTTTTAGTGGGGATTCCACTGTTTTCCTTCCTTTCCCCTGCATCCCTGCTGATTCGTTTGCCCAACTGCGTGGATTGAGGCCGCAAGAGGACGAGGAAGAGGAGGAGGATGACAAAGGCGCATGAGAGCAGCGCTTGACTTGGTGCTTGGTTTTGAACACGGTAGTCTCGTTTATCAACAAAAGGTATGTGTCAAGGGTGACCCCAAAATCGCGGTGTCCGTTTTTGCTTCCATTTAAACGGTATCCTCCAAAAAGCAACCCGCACAGGGCCCTTTGGCAAGTTGAGGACATAGCAGAGTTATGCTTGCTTTCTACTCTTGGGGCGCCATGATGCACAGAGCTTTCTTGCAGCTTCTTAGCCGAAAAGAGGGAATGATCCACATGAGCCATCTCTTGTGGTTTCTTTTGCAGGGGATCCCAAAACGTTTCGTTCCCAAAGCCCCTCATGATTCCTGGCGCACGCACATGGCTGGCGCTGGTCAGGTCTTCAGTTTACCCCGGCCTTCGAGGAGGCTCGAGACATGCAGCGCGTGCTCGTGAGGCTTTGCAAATCGGTCCGAACATCCCCTGAAGTGAGAGAAAAGCTTAAGGCAACAACCCCCTCCAATGCGAGACACGTTCGTGTCTTCGAAGACACCCTCCTGTCAAGGGACCCCTTCAAGTTCCAAGCGATCGGTTTCCTTTGGGTTCTCCTTTCAAATGAGCAACGAAATCGGGCTCCATCGCCCAGAAAGGTTCCTTCAGAGCCTTTCCTCCGGGTGGGGTTTATAGCCTTTGGTTTCATACCGTTGGAAGACCTGGGGGGGCCTTGGGTTTCTATGGTTCAAACCTTTCTGTGTGTGTGTGTTTTGCGACTTCCAAAGGAAATCGGTTTTTCGGGCCCCTTTGTTGGACACATACCCACATGAGCCACGGTCAAGATCATTAGTGCTCGCCCCCGGTGGTTTTGTGTGGGGGAATTCAGTGAGTTCCCAAGTCCAGAACCGCAAATGGAGAATTTACTACTTGTAATTTTGACCAACCTCAGGGCCCCAGAACAAAAACAAAGCAGATGTTTGGGGGCTCCGTTCTTCGAATCATACCCAAACCAGTTTTGGGCCCTGCTTGTGGTTTGCGAGACCAACGGAAACCAATTAAAAGTGACAACGTGTTCATGAGGAGAGTCCGCTTTTTTGGCAGAATTCCAGGTGTTATTTCCCGAAACCATGGGTGTGGGGTTCTTCAGGTAACCCCTAATTGGTTGGATTGGTGGTTTGGGGAGTTGACCCTGTGGTTCTTGTAGAGGATAGTTGGGGCAGCCCTCCGAAACCACCAAACCACCAAGCCAAGTTCTTCCGGAACTGCAGGAGCTGAAGGCGATGAATGGCGCCTTCACACTGGAGAGCTTGCGGCGCTGGAATGGCGTGGAGACACTCGGCACCTGCGTAGCGGGGGACAGCCCGTCCCCTAGAAAAGCAAAAGGAGGATGATTGAATGGTAGGAATCTGGTGCCCCTAAAAATGGCAGGCGGTTTAATCTGGTGCCCCTAATATGATTTTTACCCCGCCCTTGATTTAAAGGAACAAAAACGAGGCGGGGGGATTTTTGCGATTTAGGGTGCCTGAGTTCTGGTGGTCCTCTTCGGATCTCGTCCCCTTTCCGCGACCAACCTTTGATCAAAGCAGCGATTTCCGGGCCAAGTTTCGGGTTTCGGTTGCTTGAGTATGGGATTAGTACGGCTGGATTTGGGGTTGGAGGGGAAGATCGCTAGAAGACGGCTGGTGTTTAGAGTTCGCATATTCTAAATTCAGTATTGGCAAACTTTGGAACTTCCGGGAAGCTATGTTTAATATAGGGGGAGCTTTCATTGTTGTGGGAAGGGATTATGTTTTGTGACAAGGAGTTAAATCGGACACTCTTGTTGACCACCTTGGATCGCGGGCCTCCAAGGTTCAGGTGAAGATTTAAGGGGCTTCTCAAAATTGGTTTTCGACCCTTTTGGTTGGTATTTAAAAGGACTCTACAGAACCCGTTCCAATTTTGAGCGACACCCTCGTATTCCTCGAGTTTCAGTTTGGTTCCTTTTCATTTACCCGTGGAATCCGAAAGGACTTACACAGGGCCTTTCGAAGTTTCCATTGAGGTCGCCTGCGGTGCGTGCATTGAGTTGGGACAGTTGCAGCCACTTGCAGCCACTCGAGTGGTCGCAAATAACTGCAAGCAGCCGTAAGTGGCTGCAAGTGGCGTTGCTGGGTGATGCCGATGATGCTGGGGGTGCTGCTGAGCCCGTTTTCGGCACCGAGTTCCTAATGGTGATGCTGGTGATGCTGATGGGGTGTTGCTGAGTGCCGTTTTCAGCACAAAAACTGTCTGCCGGGCGCTTGCTTCAGCAGCAGTCTGCAGGGGAAGACGCAGCTAAGGGCGCAGCTCCCAGCGGGACTGCAGAAGACGCTGAAATCAAGCATTGCCCCTCACGGTACCTGAGTCACTGCGCCGCACCTTTTTTTAGGCCACGTACAGAATGTCCTTCACTTTCGGAGAGGTGCGTTGGCTATGAGATACCACTGAAAGGATTGATACAAGGGACACGTATTGGAGTGGAATAGTGTGAAAACCCAAAGCGAAGGCGTGCCTCTAAAACGAAGGATTTTTCTCCCATTATTCATGTGGCAGCCTTTGCTTCGTGTCGAAATGGCCTGCGAATTGTTTCTCCAAGTGAAAGTGCTCAAGGGCTAAAGGGGGGCAGCTAGAGCCACTCACAGCAGGCAGCCACTTTCATTCCGAATCGTGAGAGGACGTCTCCAGAGCGAAGTTTGCTTCACAAGGCGAACTCCTTAACTTAATTTTACATTTCAGGTTATCTTTGATTCGGCTCATTGGTCCATTGCCAGCTACCAAAGTCTCAACTTCAGACGTGTTGTGTTTAATCTCCGCCACTTGCTTTTCTGGTTGATCCAGTGGGTCACTATGGTTCACATCTGTTGACAAGCAATGCAGTTGTTTCTGGGGTCCTCTTTTCTTGGACAGCGCAGCTTATCGTCTAAAAAGGGGTGTAGTAAAAATCTATGTAGGACTATGTATTGCGCCGGCGTCTTCATTTCGCGCTGAAGCCGATACACCGACACATCGATATCCCTCCTCAGGATATTGGCGCCCGCACCGATTTCCCCCCCTGAGCAGGACATCGGCGCGTGGCCACATATCGGGCGGCGAGCGGCCAGATATCGCCGCGGCGGATATCGGTGTGGCGTATATCGGTGCGCGCGCCCCTCCCCCCCTTTCCCGCCTTGGAGGGGGATATCGGCGCGGCCGGATATCGGCGCGTGTGCGCACCGGTATGCTCCAGTGCAGTTTCTATATGATTTGACACATCCCGTGGCCGCGGCATCTGTTTGGGATTTGTTCAGTTCGAAAAACTACAGGCATCTAAATAGTTAAAAAGACAAATACGCAAATGTCTACGCTGAGGCACACTTGAATACGTGTAGTTTTACATATTGATCTATGCGTGTGTGTGTGTGTGTGTATGACAACACGTTGGTTTACGCGTGTTTCGTTGAATGTGTGTTGAAATGTCTGTCCATAAGTATCAATTACCCCTTATGACAGTGGCGCATATGTCTTTGTGGAGGCCCACTCGAAAACAACAAGCTTGAACTACAAGTTGCCCAACACCAAAAGCATGTTAAAACTGAACAACTAGCAAATCACATGTTGGAAGGCCCAGCGAGCAGTAAATCCGAGGACTGAACATATGAACCAAATGTCGGGATGCCCAAGAGACACGCAAACATCACCATGACAAAATGCGGACGGCCCAGTGAACAGGAAGCTTGAACAACTATGAAAGGAATTTCGCAGCCGTCGGTTGTGCAAGAGATTTACAGGCCAGATGTTTTTCAGACGCCTTTTGAGAAAAGCCAAGCAACAGGACAAACATTCGGTGATAGAATTCATGCGGGCCACACATGTTTATGGGTGACCCAATTTTGAAGAAATGCATTTAAGGAACACTTCCGGACTACACAGGTCTGTGGCCTCAAAATGTTGCTCGCCACATACTTGGCAAACAGTGGTAGCTACAAAATTTAACGGATGAACATTTTTGTACTTAAGGAACATTTTGTTGACTACAACACCCCGTGGCCTCAAAAGTTTGCAGGCCAAGTGCTTGACATAGAATCTGACTACACGTTTTTTTGGACGAGCGTAGTTGGACCATGTAGATCAAAAACATATTTGAAGTACAGCTTATTGTGGCCTCAAACATTGCAGGCCACATGTTTGACTGAACAATTGGTGACCACACATTTGTTGCCAGCATTTGTTGAACATGTAGCTAAGGCACATCTCTGGACTATAATGACAGTATTGTGCCTATCAAGTCAGTAGATCAGTAGTACTGGTCAAGGGTTTGAATTCCAGCCAGAGTTTTAGGGGTGTTCGAAACTTTTGGCAAGTGGCTGCAAGTGGCTGCAAGTGGCTGCAAGTGGCCACATCGCTCGCAACAACAGTGTCGAAGCAGCAGCAGCACAAGTTGACAAGCAGCCACGCATTTCGGCAGATGAGACAAGCTCACGGCACAAGTTTTCAGCACAAAAAGCTTGTTTTTGTGCTGAAAACAGGGCTCAGCTTGCGGCTCGCATGGCACGATATTTCAGCATCAAAAACTTAGACAGCTTCTGTGATGAAAGCAGGACGCAGCAACACCCCCAGCAGCAGCAGCAGCATCACCAACATCATCCTCGGCAGGGGGAAGGGGTTTGGAACTCAACATTCGAGCTCTTACCCTCAGCGCAGCTGCAAGTGGCTGCAAGTGGCCAACATCAAAATGATGCACTGTTGCACGCTCCCTGGAAGTTTCGACGTTTGCAGTCGTCAAAATGCAGGCCGCGCTTGGAAGGGCTCTTTTCAAAACAGTCACCAACTAATTATTATTCTGCCATGTGGGAGTTGTCCAAAAATATAGCCCCGTTTCAGGTCTACAAAACAAATGGGCTCTAAGACTTAACAATCCCCCACGTTCTTTTGCCTCTTCCCAGATTGTTCGCATCCAAGGCTCCCAATGCTCATCAGTGTTTGCGGCACGGTGGTGGATGCGCCTTGGATCTATCGCAGTGGGCAGGGGTCTAATGCGATCAAAACCAGGTCGTTCTCTCCCAAACGGCTAAAAGTTTTTGGGATTAATTGGTTCGGAGTTCAGACAGGTGGCTTGAGCTTGAGAACAGGTGAGCCAAGCTCGGGAAAGTGGAAGGTTATTGAGGGAAGGTCCCATGCGGAAATAGGTACGGATATCCGCCGTTCGATTGTTTTTCGTGGTGTTGGGTACGCCGCTTTGAGTGTGGCTCGGGAGTCAGACTGCAGCAATGCTTGCAACCACGCCCTTTTCCGTGGGGGGCAAACGCGGCTGGTCATCAGCCTCAGGTCTCGATCAGCGATAACTTTGTGCCGAGCTTTGGGTATGGCAAGCTGTGGTCCGGCAAGGTGGGGGCAGTTGAGGCCGCCATCATTGAACAGGGGTCGCAAAAAGGGGTCTCCACCCTCGCAATATTTGTTTGGCATCCGTGCCAAATAGTACCAGGTGTGGGTTTCGGAGGGTCTTCACCTTGGAAAAGGAAAGCAAAGCGGAGAAACCGCAACCACTTTGTGGCCCCTATTTTGACACATGTCCGGCGCAGGATTGCACCTGGGCGATGGCCACGGCGGCTCGGTTGGCGGTGGTTCGCGGTTAGAGCGGTTGAGGCAGGTTTTACAGCTTGTAGGGAATGCACAGGGAGTTGGAAATGAATTAAATGGGTGTGGCTCACCCAAATGGAACCTTGGCAACTGGAAAGGTAGACTAAAACCTGCGTAACCCCAGCTGCTGAACTAGCGTAACGAGGTCACTGATTCGGGGCTTGAACGAACTCATGAAGGTCCTGATGTCCCACTTGTGGATGATAGTAATTTGCTCGGATTGGTAGCCGTTGGCAAGCTCTGGCTCTTTCTACAGCCATTTGTGCAGTTGAGTGAAAGTAGATGGCACAATTCTCCTAATTATTTTGGTTTCATCATGCACCCAGGTACCCAGCAGATCCAAGCCTGCCGCCAAGCAAGATGCGATTGACGAATCAAAGGTTCCTTTCAAGAGGAAAATTGTCTTCCGGGAAGCCTGTGAAACTTTCATGAGCCCCTCCTCACGGTTTTCTCCAAATGACACGCTGAAAGGGACACATGGGCCGTAAGGATAGGGAGGGTGTAGGCTCGCCAGAAATGCAAATGGAAGGCGCCATTTTTTGACTACATGGCTGTTAGCCCATTCAGTGTCACCTCTGTTGGATTGTGTTTGAAGGCAAACCACAAGGAACCCCCCACTTCTGGGAAGCACCCATTGACCAACAGAAGCGTTCTCAAACGTGTCAAAGCAGAGGTGCAGTGGGGCGTTGGCGCGGCCCAGATTCCTTTGTTCTGCATGGTCTCTCCGCCCAGAATGGCTTCGATTTTCCTTTTGGTTTCCCTTTGAAACTAGAAAAACAGAGGTATCCTCAAAAAGAAACACGCACATGCTTACTAGGTTCCCCAGTAGTGCCCTTCTCTCCCCTTTTTTGGGGGAGGGTTCCCCTACTAAAATAGACTACAGAAAAAAGTGGGTGCCCTTTTTCTAACCTCTCTACGGGAGGAAAGAATGCGGCTGTAGTGTAGCCACTGCAGCCTGGAGTTTTCAGGTCTCCTTGAAGGCGGATGACGCCAACCGCTTCGACTTCAATCTCGAGGACCTATTTTGGAGCGACCTGAAGCCCATTTTTGTACGGGATCCAACCATATTTTCACCAAACTTGGGCCCACTCAGGGTGCGGTTTTAACACATTAACCTGTTGGGTCCATGTTTGGTGAGCTTCCCTTGGTAGGGGAGACGTGTTACACGGCGAAGCACGTGCTCCTTGAGGGCGACTTCGTTTTTTTTCAGCCACAAAACGTTGGCCAGACAAGACTATGCTGGCTTATGGTGCCTGGTGGATCTTAGTTCGTCTGTGGTTTCGCGGTTGTCAAATGAATACGTTTACCCTGCATAGAGATGGTAGACTTGTTCAATCCAATATATGCTTATTCTTATCGGTTTCCGTTTGTTTTTCCGACCGCAAACTGACCATTTTCGGCACGACCCACTTTACCTCTTGGTTCATGGGTTTGCCTAAAAAGCCGGTTCCCCGTCCTTGAGCGTTCTGTCTATCTTATCGCGAGCACAGATGCGGGTGTAAGACGAGCTCACCATGATGTAGGTCCTTTACTTAGAGATCTACTTCGCATGTTTTCATATTTTGGAGTATGTGCAGACTCAAATTGGTCGGGCTTTTTTGACAATTTGTTTGTTGACTTTGCTTGACCTTTAGTCATGCGTCGGCCCGCGGGTGGCAGAGGCGAGCCAACGTGCGGCCGATGCGGCTTTTTTCCACAATTTCTTCAAGAACTCGCCAGATGCCAACACATTTGGATAACGTAGTTACCAAAAATATCTGTAATTAGAAAATTGCATCAAAAGGATGCCGGAACACCAACAGAAATACTTGTAAATGGCAAACGGTTATCATCTAACAAGTAAACTAGAAGACGGGTGGCCCGAAAGCATTTTCCATGACACGCAGCCTGAATGGGATTTTTGTCCAACTATGCATTTCACTGTCTACTTTCCCTGTGCATGCATCTATGCCCTTCACTCTGTACTTGCCCTATGCATGCCTCTATGAATTTCACTGTGCACTTTCCCTGCGCATGCCTCTGTGCATTTCACTGTCTACTTTCCCTGCGCATGCCTCTATGCATTTTACTGTCTACTTTTCCTGCGCATGCATCTGCGCACTTCCCTCTGCACTTGCCCTATGCATGCCTCTATGCATGTCACTGTCTACTTTCCCTGCGCATGCCTCTATACATTTCACTGTCTACTTTCCCTGTGCATGCCTCTATGCATTTCACTGTCATGCATCTATGCATTTCACTCTGTACTTGCCCTACGCATGCCTCTATGCAACTCACTGTGCACTTTCTCTACGCGCGCCTCTATGCATTTCACTGTCTACTTTCCCTATGCAGTTGAGCTGTGCAGAACGCAACGACTTTGCCAGAAGAACCCTTCGCAATGCTTTCGGGCAACATAAATTCAGTTGCAATCAAAGCTTAAAAGCAATGTTGGAATGGATAAGGGTAACCATGGTAAACAACGTATTTAACTTAACTGTGTTGCAATACTTCGGCATCATATGTTTTAAACATGCGTATTTGGACCTAAGCTTGGTAAATTTCTTTGCTTATATATTATAGTTTTGTGTTGTCAAAGGAAGTTTAGAAATTAATTGAAAGGTAGCTTGCGTAGGCGGGTAGAATGAGAAGACAAGATCGCGCGAGCGAAAAGATAGCTCTTGGCAGATAGCTTTGGAAGATCAGACAGCGCATGCAAAATAACGTATAAGATGAAGAAATGAACTCATGCGAGAAAGCATGCGTGGGCGCGTGGCGGGGGAATAGAAATCGCGAAAAATAGAGACCCTCTGCAGGGTTTAGCGGGCCCACGTCGATGTCAACCCATCTTCTTTCAACCAGCTGTGACCTCCCTCAATCTGATGACCGGAGGAGTTTGGAGGACTGTCTTCTTGTTGTCGGTCTAGCTCCGTTTGCCGTTTGTAGAAAGATGGCCAAACCGCATCAGAGCTGTGTTGGGTTTTGGGCTTCTGTTGGTTTTCATTTAATAGAGAGTTCGGTTCTAGACAGGTATATATCCTACGTTTTTCCTTTTAAAATAGTTTCTCAGGGTATCTTGGCGCAATGTTATGCTGGCTCCAAACATTGGTAAGGCTTTCCTTTTGGTTGCCGGCCTGGGTCGACAACTTTCCCCTTTCTGCTGCCTGTTCTTTTCCTGAACAGCCAAACGGTGGGATTTCAGACTTTGGACCTGTCTCAAAATAGGGAGTCCCAACAAACGTGCGGTTTGCTTTTGACATTGTGGTTTTCCTTTCAGACGAGCCAACGCACGGTTCCCGAAAAACACCAAAGCCTGCACCAATAGTGAGCAAGGGGGACGAACTCACGCATCAAGGTCCCTTGAAGATTCCTTCAATGAGGTGCGGATAAGTGAACCTATCCAACATGTACGAAACATCCTGATGGTCAGACCAAGGCCGACGGGGGAAAACAAATGACGCCCCTAATAAAGGTTCCTTGGGGCTTCCCTTGGTTTGTCAATCATATGGTTCAAGACACCTATGCCAGCACATCCCGTCTCACAAATGTCAATACACATTTGCTGATAGGAAAAAGAGGAGATGCCATTCAAGCCGCTGTCAACAGAAATTCGCCGATAGGAGATGGAGGAGATGCAGTTCAAGTCGCTGGCCGGCTGGTACAAGCATTTCACCGAGAAGTACCGAACGGCGCGACAAACTTGTGGGTTGCTCCTGAAGGATGACCAAACGATTGGGTAGAAATATTTGTGCAACGAGCGTTTCCACCAGTGGCGTGGTCTAAGCCCGCATTTCTTCCGGTAGTTTGGGGGCCGTACTGTAGTTCAAGGACTGGTTTTGGACTGGTTTTGGGAATTTCAACATGTCAAATCTTTCAAGTGTGCATGGTTCACGTCAGGCACTGATCGAAAAAAATGATAGCAGGTGGGCCAGCTGGAGGAGTTCAAGGATTGGGACTTCAGCAAGGTGAAGCAGACGGCACAGGACGAGAATCCGAGTCGACTCGAGCGGAGTCGCGCGATATGTACTACTGTGGATAGACGAAATCCTGCACCACTTGGAAACCATGGGAAAACAAGTTTAGTTGGTATTCACAGGAGAATCATCATTCCGGGGTTTCTTAGGTGGTGCAGGATTTCGTCCATCCACTTCACAGTACGGCCTTGGGTTTTACTGTGAAGGGGGCATAGAAGAGAAAGAGGGTCTCAAGGTGGCTCTTTTAGTTCTTCCTTTTCTTTGGCGGGAGGCGCTTATCTTTACTCTTTGGCTGGGAGAGGCCTTATGTCTATTGTTTGGGTGGAGGTGTTTATGTTTGCTGATGACGGGGAGAAGGCAGCAAGAGGGAGACATGGAGGTTTTGAACCACCCCCCTCTTTGATTTCGGGGTGGGGGGAGAATAAAAGCAGAGTCATGGGACATCACCCCGTGCTATTGGGTGTGGAACCCATGTCCCAACCGTAAATAATCTTTTCCCTAACAAATCAGGGGACGGGGGTGCCAACATAAATGGGGTATGGATGTATATTCAGAGCGCGATTCCCCTTTTTCACAGACAGTTGGAGTTTTAAGAAAGGGTGGGGGAAAGCCGTTGGTGACCAGGAGATGCAGAAGGCAGGCTCTTTTGCCTGACCCGCTCCCCGTATTCGGGAGCGCGGGCTGAGCCAATTGAGCCAACGTCAAAACCTATTCGGGAGGGTTGCAGCGAATACTAGACAGTTTTTTGAATCACATTGGTGTTCCACCCTTTCGATTCTTTTCTACTGCTTTGCACAGCACAGTTGGGTACCAGGTGTTGATTCCGACTCAATTGGAACTCTGTACAGCCCGTATAGCCCGTGTGGCTTTGCTAGCGACGGATGACTGCCGAAGAGCTCCCGCCGTCGGGTCTTTTGAACGAAGCTTCATGTTTCGCCACTGGTGCTGTGGAGATCCCCACCCCCTTGAGAGAGGAGTCGGGGGAGTGGGTACCCCGTGGAGTTTCATTGTTGGTTTCACGTTCACCCTTGAAAACGACTACATCAGCGCCTCCCTGATACGGTAGGGGGATCTTTTGATAGAGAATGTGGTCAGGTGACAAGCGGAGCACTTTTCCCAGCCGCTTGCCGCCAGTAGGCGGATGTCCGGCTGTACCGCGCATCCAGCTGCTGTGTGAAAAACCTCGCCGCATTTTTGCGCCGGAAAGAGATGTGCCTGTTTGCAAAAGCATGATGCTTGGCGGCTGATCCCTTTTTGATCCTTTTCAACATCATCCTTTTCAGCTGTCAGCCTTGCTTTCCGGAAAGAGGATCCCTGGAAATTTGGAAGTTACCACTATGTGCGTGTGAATTCAAGGATGTCTGCCCTTGAATCATGCGGGGTTCAAATGATTCCAGACAATTTCCCGGCCAGGCCCTCATAAGAGGCTCTAAGAAGCCTCCGGGAAATTCTCCAGGAAATGGCCGATACCCACACACCAGGATTTTGGATCTAACTTTCGCTGGTTTCGCAGACAGGCCATGCTTCTATTCCAGGGCCTCCTCTCTGAAGGGGTCCTACCATGTACTTGCAAGGGCGTCGTGTTTTTTTTCTGAGTCAGACAAGGTGTGCAATGGTTTTTGTTTGGGACTTTCCTTCACATGATTTGCTTTCTCTGTGATTCTCGCAGTTCTCACAAGAGGAGGGGTTCATGATGCTTGTCCGACAGAATTGCCAAGGAGCCCTCATAGTTCACCCAGAGAGTTGAATGGCAAGTCTTGGGTGTTCAACCTGCGTAGGTAGGTAGGTTACAACCTTGGTTATAAGCGGGGTCTTACGAACCATAGAACCTACTTGCACCCTGATTTCCTGGTTGGTATGCCTTTCAAGCACCATTTTTAGTTGCAAACAACTCCACGGAGGTGAGACCATCGCCTCAGTGGTTTGCTCCTGAGGTTGTCGGCTGGAGCGCCTCGCCAACAACCTGTTGATGCTGGACGTACCGAAGCTCAGCCTGGATGTTCATCCACCAAAATTGCAACCGGGGTGGATTTGCAAAACGGACCAAGCCGTTTGGCCTGGACGCTACAAGAAGCTTGTTTCTTGTTCGGTGTTGATGGTGTTGTATCCGGGGGGGGGGAGGGAAAGCTGGGAAGCACGATTTCTTTGTTTGGGTAACGGTCACCCCTTTAAATCACATACAGGCAATCGTGGCATCTACGTTCCTGGTGTAGGTTGTAACCCTCGTTGTCCCACTTGCCATGGGAACATTTCGACTTACCAGGTAGTTTGAACATCCAGATAGGGGTCCCTGACACAAAATAAGGCTCATTCATTTTCTTGGGAAGGGTCTTGAAGGAATCAATTTCTCGTTTGACTTTGGGGCAGGACAGCAGTAGCTGGCGAGTTGACGTTTTGGCTGGAGTGCGCCGCCCCTGTATTTTCAAGCTGGGCCCATGGAAGCTTGTTTTCTGGTAGGTTTGCGAAAGTTTGGGCACCTATTTTGTGGCGAGCGGTTCCACCCATTAGGGGATAGCACGAGGGAAATCCATTATGTAGGTGCGGGGGTTGCGAATTTCAAGCTTTGTAATGATTGCGGAATTTGGGTCCTTGAACCCACCCTTTGAAGGTTGCCAAGAGCCAGTTTAGGGGCGCTTGCTTGAAACATGTGAAACCATGGGTAAGTGCCAAAAGTAGGACCCCCCAGCGGCTCCAGCGAGAATTGTTTCAACAGGAAGCATGACAACCATGCGGCAAAACGTTCGGCATTGGACACTACTAACATCGGGACCTCAGGATGAACACCCAAAGGGAAACATACCATGTCAGCTGGGATCATTTTGAGAGGTGGCAACTGGGGAAGGCCTGCATCCTGTGAAAAGCCTATAGGAGATACCTTCCCAAGAACAGGAAGCTGGCGAAGCCTTCTAGCTGAGTGACATCGTGTGCGGGCATGAATTTGAATTGGACCAACAATGGTTGCTGCTTGCCGCTTCACGTTGGGACATGGTCTTTCAGGGCTCCCGAATTCTGTGGTTTTGGCAACATTGGACAATTGGGGTATACCTCTCCATTTTGGAAAGGTCGATTAAAACAACCGTCTCCTTTGGTCACGCTATGCCAGAAATGATGGAACCCGACATTGGATCCTTGGATCCCTTCCCGCTCCGAACCCGTCGGTCGGACCATTGACGCTGGTTGCTTGGGGTATCCGTGTCAGAGACCTTAGGACTCCGAGAAGTCTTGGAGCCTCAGTGGTTTACGAACCTGGGGTTTAAGCCCGGGGTGGTAGGGGCGGGTTTTGGTTTTCTCCCCAAGAAGATTTTCCACAGACCTCACATGACCTCGCCATGTCAGACATCAGCCGCGGCCGCCGCAGACTTTGCTACCCGTGTCCCAATTGGCGGGAGGGAGCGAGCAGACAAGATCAACACCGGCAGAGCGCGACTCGCAGCAAGCGGCATCCGTTTCAGCTGAGCACAAAGTCGGATCACATGAGCTTCTCAGAAACTGAACAGATTTCGCACTTGTTTCCTCCGCATAATTGATGTCCCTTTCCCCAATCTTTTTCGCGCGACTTTCACCAGCAGCTCCAGGCTTTGCGTGCGGCGAGCATTCTCAGATCGGAGATGTGCGTTGATGTTGGGAAATGGCCGGGACGCTTTTGGAGGCCAGGCGCAGCTGTCGCGCAGCTGTCGCGCCTGTTGCGCCTCTTGCGCCGGTCGGGTAGCTGATTTGAAGCAACGAGGCAATGAGGGACCTTGCCCATACATTTCGGTGTGTGTGTGTGTGTCGTTTTTCAGGGAGGCCCTTTTGGTTGCTTTTGAAGGGAAGCGAAAAGGAGGCCAGAATAGGGGATCAAGAAATCAAGGTGCTGTCTTGGGTGCTGGTCCGGGCTTACTGGCGATGCTTGCGTGGCGCTGCACTGTGTGTGTGTGTGTGTGTTTAAGCCTGCGGTGGTGGCTGCTTTGTGATGCAGCTTGGGTGCTGTTGTTGGTGCTGGTCAAGGTGTTGCTGTGAGTGCTGGTCAGGGTGCTGTTTGGTGTTCTCAGGGTGCTGCGGCGGTTGCTGCGTGCTCTTGCCAATCCTTGCTCCGTCCCTGGCAATTGGGTGCCAAGGCATATAGACGGAAAGAGAGAGAGAGAGAGAGAGAGAGCGACCCGACAGGAAGCTTTCAGCATTTCCACGCTGGCAGGCGCGAGTCATCTTTTCGTCTTGCTTGTTTGCACCTCACGCCATATGTTCCGTGTGAGCCATCAAGCGAAAGGAGGGGCAGGTGAACGTTGCAAAGGGATCACGGAGTTCCACTTGCCTACCGCCAAACATGGTACACAGGTCGTCTTGGAAGGGGTTGTGTGAACTTCCATGTTTGGTGGGAGGGCACACGCCATCTTGGTTACTCCCTGTGTAATATGAGGGCAGTTGGCCTCCTCCTCTAATAATTGTTTTGTCCGTGTCCTTTGGATTTGAAACAATTCCAGTTCAAGGCATCAGCAATATTCCCTAGGTTTTTGGTGGAGAATGAAAGCGTCACCACCACGTTTTCGGATAAACGACCATAAACTACAAACCGCTCACTCAACCACTGCTCTTGCTGGATGAGGGAATGACCTCCTTTCAATCATCCCCTATTGTTTCCTTTAAGGGAATCCCAAACGGTTCATTCCCAACACCCCTCAAGCCCTTCTTTACCTATCGAACAAGCAAGAAAAGTGACCACTTGGGTGCTCGAGCTATAGTAAGTATGTTGTAACCATGGTCAGTGGCGTAACCCCCCAGCGGCCCCAGATACTGTGGATGGTCGAAATCTTGCACCACCTGAGAAACCCTGGAATGATTCGATTCCCCTACAAATATCAACAAACAATGATTTCCATGGTTTCAAAGTGGTGCGAAATGGATGCTGTCCATCCACAGATATGTCATTCCCCACCTATCGCACCAAGTGATGAGCCACTGAGCCGCTGAGCCACTAATAGGCCTCCGCAAGCGCCTCCGCGCGGACGGCCGGATGCTGATTGGCGCCCATGCCTCGGTGAAATTCGACAGGCTCAATAGGGTTAGCCAGGTTTTGAACTTGGACATGCGCACTTGTTTCATGCTGGTTTCTCTTTAAACCCAGGTAAAACACATACAAGCCCAGGTGATATCCCCCCCAGCCCCTGAACCCCCTGGAACCTAGAGCTGCTCCGAATCACGGAGCCAAGCTGGGGCCTATTGACCCAGCTTTCAGCTGGGGAATTGAACCCTCAAGCAAATACAGACTATGGTGGTTGTATTTCACCCCTTCTTCGGGTCCCAGTGGTTTTTGAGTTGGGGTAATGGTTACCGCCCCTGTTTGAAAGTCTCTCAGGTCGCCTGCGGCACCGCCGCGCTACGGCCGCCGGGGTCCATGATGGCGCCGGCCCAAGGAACCACTGGGAACGGAGGAATCTGCCAATTTCTAGGAAGGAACCACCGTGGGGACGGAGGAATCTGCCGATTATCTATTAAACCAGTCGAGGCAGTCCACCAAACTCCCAGGTAAAGGTCACCACAACAGGTTAGGCTTCTATTTTTTTGAAGCAAGCGAGGGACTTTTTATGAGCTGATATCTTTTCCGGGGTTAGGCCAAAACACAGATCACTAGTTTTAGGGCTCCCCATGAGGACCCTTTACTGTGAGTGTTTCCCAAACTGCTTGGAGCCCCAAACAGCGGCAAAAGTTCCCTTGTGGTGTCCTTCAAAACTCTCCATG